GATGCAGTCACTGCTTTTATGGACACTGACCACAGAGCTGAAATAAAATAATAATATGGCTGGGAGGGCTGGGCATGGTGGCTCACGCCTGTAATCCTAGCACTCTGGGAGGCTGATGGGGGAAGATTGCTTGAGCTCAGGAATTTAAGACCAGCCTGAGCAAGAGTGAGAACCCATATCTACTATAAATAGAAAGAAATTAGCCAAACAACTAAAAATAGAAAAAATTAGCCAGGCACGGTGGCACGTGCCTATAGTTCCAGCTACCTGGGAGACTGAGGCAGGAGGATCACTTGAGCCAGGAGTTTGAGGTTGCTGTGAGCTAGGCTGATGCCACGGCACTCTAGCCCAAGCAACAGAATGAGACTCTGTCTCAAAAAACAAACAAACAAAAAATAATATGGCTGAGGGCAGGGGTGCATGCCTGTATTCTCATCTACTCAGGAAGCTGAGGCTAGGAGTTTGAGACCAGCCTAGGTAACATAGTGAGACCCTGCCCTAAAAAATAAATAAATAAATAAGAAGAACAGCTTCTATTAATTGAGCGTTTTCTATTTGCTAGGCACTATGCTAAGTGCCTTACATGTATTTTCTCATTTGATCCTCTCAGCAACCCTGTGAGGTTGATTTTATTTTCCAGATGATGATGTCACCTAACCTATGCAAACCAAATAACTAGTAAGAGGAGGAGCCTGGATTTGAACCCAGGCAGTTGCATCCACAGTCTGTGGAGACAAAAAGTAAAGATCAAGACTGATTGTACCTCATTGTGCCTGTGCTGAAACTGAAGTCTCACATGGAGTTTGGGATCAGTTAGTTCTCCCTTTTCCCAAGCTTGGCGTTCTGTGCACTTGGTTAGATGACTTGTTAGTCTGAGTCCCATTACCCTCTTCTTTTTCTTTTCTTTTTTTTTTTTTTTTTTTTTTGAGACAGAGTCTCACTTTGTTGCCCAGGCTAGAGTGAGTGCCATGGTGTCAGCCTAGCTCACAGCAACCTCAAACTCGTGGGCTCACACAATCCTACTGTCTCAGCCTCCCAAGTAGCTGGGACTACAGGCATGCCCAGCTAATTTTTTCTGTATATATATTTTTAGTTGGTCAATTAATTTCTTTCTATTTTTAGTAGAGATTGGGGTCTCGCTCTTGCTTAGGCTGGGTTCGAACTCCTGACCTTGAGCGATCCGCCAGCCTCAGCCTCCCAGAGTGCCAGGATTACAGGCGTGAGCCACCGCGCCCACCCCCTCATTACCCTCTCCTAAGGAACATCCAGTCACCAGGTCTGCCCTACCTGATATGTGGCTGAGGCTCAGCTGGTACCTGTCCTTGTCCTCTGTGTCTCCAGGATTGTGCACCTGTGCTTGCGAAAGGCTGACCAGAAGCTGGTGATCATCAAGCAGATCCCAGTAGAACAGATGACCAAGGAAGAGCGGCAGGCAGCCCAGAATGAGTGCCAGGTACTCAAGCTGCTCAACCACCCCAATGTCATTGAGTACTACGAGAACTTCCTGGAGGACAAGGCCCTCATGATCGCCATGGAATATGCGCCAGGTGGGCCAAGCTCCTTGAAGCAGCCTGGCTAGAGGGGCCTCCTACCTCTGAGACAGGCAGACAGATCAGCCAGCTTCCCTGCAGGGAATGGGCTTGGCTGAGGCTCAGAGGTACAGAGTTCTGGCCCCAATTGTCTGACCCCGGGTAGCCCCTTGCCCTCTCTGGTCCCAGTGCACTCTTCCGTAAAAGGAGAGGGGTTGTCCTAGGGGTGAGAAAGCTTGGATCTTGATTAGTTCCTCGGGCCACAGGTGGCACCCTGGCTGAGTTCATCCAAAAGCGCTGTAATTCCCTGCTGGAGGAGGAGACCATCCTGCACTTCTTTGTGCAGATCCTGCTCGCCCTGCATCATGTGCACACCCACCTCATTCTGCACCGGGATCTCAAGACCCAGAACATCCTCCTTGACAAACACCGCATGGTCGTCAAGATCGGTGACTTTGGCATCTCCAAGATCCTCAGCAGCAAGAGCAAGGCTTACACGGTGCCTGGGTGTTAGAGGTCTTGAAGGCCAAGGCTGCTCTACATCCCTCCTTCCTCCCCTCCCCACTAAAAATGTGGCCCTTTGGCCCCTGCTTGGGTGGTCCTGCAGAAGAAAGTCCCTTGCCTTGCTTTGAAAAGAAGCTGTCCCCAAATAGACCTGTGGGCAGAGCCCCTGGTCTTCCTTCCCCACAGGGCTGTGACCTCAGCTTCCCCTCTGCAGGTGGTGGGTACTCCATGCTACATTTCCCCAGAGCTGTGTGAGGGCAAGCCCTACAACCAGAAGAGCGATATCTGGGCCCTGGGCTGTGTCCTGTACGAGCTAGCCAGCCTCAAGAGGGCCTTCGAGGCTGCGGTGAGTGTACGATTGGGAAATACTCCCCTCCCAGCAACCCTCAGCTCCAGCCTCTCCTGGGTTCCTTGTCCATGGCTGAGTCATGGCTCTCCCTCTCCACACCGGTGGATTCCTCAGGGCAGGGCTGTGGCGGTGGATTCCTCAGGGCAGGGCTGTGGGCTCTCAGACTATGGATTCCTGAGGGTAGGCCTTGGGTTCGCCATTAGACTGAGGGCTCCTGAAGCTAGGGCTGTGGCTCTCCCATCAGATTAGGGAGGCTCCCAAGAGTGAGGCTTGAGTGTTCCCAGCACCCTGGGCTTTCTGAGGGCACAGCTGCAACTCCACTATCAGACTAGGGAGTGTGGAAAAAAGCAGGATTTGACGCCTCTCTTATTCTGGGAGTCCCCCCATCAGACTGAAGTCACCTGAGAGCAGCAGGGCTGTTACTACCCAGTAGACCAGGGGCTAGAGCTGGGGGTGCTGCCCTCGCCTCCCCAGCCCCCCCCCAACTTGGCACCTTCACAGAACCTGCCGGCGCTGGTGCTGAAGATCATGAGCGGCACCTTCGCGCCCATCTCTGACCGGTACAGCCCAGAGCTGCGCCAGCTCGTCCTGAGTCTGCTGAGCCTGGAGCCTGCACAGCGGCCACCGCTCAGCCACATCATGGCGCAGCCCCTCTGCATCCGAGCCCTCCTCAACCTCCACACCGACGTGGGCAGCGTCCGCATGCGGAGGCCTGTGCCGGAAGTGGGGGGCGGTCCTGGGCGGCAGGGTCGGGGCACCCAGTGGGAGCACAGGCCTGGGGTGAATCCTCCATTCGTGAGTGTCGGAATGCTGGGGAGGGCCGGGGTCCTGAGACCCCCATCTGTCCTGCAGGTCGGAGAAGTCCCTGGCCACCGGCCCACCCATGGCCCCCGGCAGCACAGGGAGCAGGACCACCAGCGCCCGCTGCAGAGGTAAGTGGGGAAGGCCACCAGGTCCCTGCGGAAGCCACACCATTCCCACCACTTCAAAAGGCCTGATGCACTATCCCCGCAGGCGTACCCCGGGGACCTGTGAGGCCCACCATCCCACCGCCACTGTCCTCGGTGTACGCCTGGGGCGGCGGGCTGGGCGCCCCCCTCCGGCTGCCGATGCTCAACACTGAGGTGGTGCAGGTGGCAGCCGGGCGCACGCAGAAGGCCGGGGTCACGCGCTCCGGGCGCCTCATCCTGTGGGAGGTGAGCAGGCTGCGGAGCACCTGGGCGGGAGGGTGTGTGTGGGGGGCCCAAAGGGTGTGCTCAGGCGCCGCCCACTCCCTCCTCCCCACGCCCTCTGCAGGCCCCGCCCCTCGGCTCCGGTGGAGGCCCGCTCCTCCCGGGGGCGGTGGAGCAGCCGCAGCCCCAGTTCATCTCGCGTTTCCTGGAGGGCCAGTCAGGCGTGACCATCAAGCACGTGGCCTGTGGGGACCTCTTCACCGCCTGCCTGACCGGTGAGCCCGTCCCAGGACTATCTTAAGGGGACCCACTTACAAGAAGGCCCCACAGAGCAACTTCCCTCACTGCAAACTGCTCACTTAATTCACGGCTCTCTCTACTACTTGAGTTATTGCTTCTGCCTAACCGTTGAGATTTACTACCGCCACCTCCTTTACCCGACGCAACAGATCTGGCAAGGTATTAATAGTTACTATCCCCATTGGACAGATGGGGAAAGTAAGGCTCAGATAGGCTGTCACTTGTCCAAAGTCACACTCTTGGGAAGAGATATCCCACCCTTCCAGCCCTAGCCCCCAACTTTTATCTTGCTGCTCCAAGCCATGAGTGGACTGGACTATCTGGAAAAAGAGTCTAACTTCTCTCCCTTCTATCCTTACCGCACTCGTCCTCAGACCGAGGCATCATCATGACCTTTGGCAGCGGCAGCAATGGGTGCCTAGGCCACGGGAGCCTCACTGACATTAGCCAGGTGGGCGTCCTGTGTACCCTGGGAAGGGCGGATGGCAGGGAGCACACGTCTGAGAGCTGACTCTAGGTTGAGGGCAGGGGAGTTCCCAGCAGCCCCGGGTCCCTCTAGTTCCCAGATTGTACCTGCTCTGGGCCACATCAGAGAAGTACAGAAAGAGGAGGGTTCCCCAATAGTTGCCCACGAGGCAGTGGGAAGGCCTGGAGTTAAAAGTCAGCCACCTTATGAGAACTTGCAGCCTCCAATTTTGTCCCCGCAGTGGGTGTTGAGACCAGGCAGCTAGTCCCAGAGCCCTGGCCCAGTCTCGCCTTTCTTTTTCTTTTCTAGCCCACCATTGTGGAGGCCCTGCTGGGCTATGAGATGGTGCAGGTGGCCTGTGGGGCCTCTCACGTGCTGGCCCTGTCCACTGAGCGAGAACTGTTTGCCTGGGGCCGCGGAGATGGCGGTAAGCTCCCTCTCCTTCTCCAGCCCTTCAGCTCCATCTCACAGCATCCTCAGCCATGATTTGTCCCCCTTCATACCCACCTTCCATCCAATGGCCCATTCTCTCCTCCCTTTTTACTCCTACATTCTATTTGAATGAATTCAACAATCCCTTACCGCACACCCACTTTGTGCCCACTCTGTGCTGGGTGCTGAGATGAGATGAACAAGATGTGGCTTCCTTCAGGTGTTTACAACATAATGAGGGGGATTTCTTTCATCCAGCGACATTTATTAAGGCCCTTTCTGAGTCAGGCATCAGGCTGGGCACTGAAACTAGAGATGACATGGGTAGGTGCCTGTCCTCCCAGAGGACTCAGTCTAGTTGGGGGAGAGATGACATAGCTCCAGCATGCCAGAGGACGGACAGCATCAGGGCTACAACCGAGGTTTAAGAGGTATGGGAACTCAAGAATAGCAGCGTCACCTGGAGGAGACAGAGGGTGGTATCTGAACAGGGCTTTAAAGGAAGAGGAGGATTTTGACCAGCAGAGGGGCCTAGGAAAGGCATTTCAGGCTGAGAAATTGGCCTTCACTCATGCTGTTTCCTCCTCTTGGTGGGCCCTCCTTATCCTGGCATCATCACCCCTAAAACTCAAACTAACCCCACCCCGGTTTCTTTTTGTAGGTAGGCTGGGACTAGGCACCAGGGAATCCCACAGTTCCCCCCAGCAAGTGCCCATGCCCTCAGGACAGGAAGCCCAGCGGGTTGTATGTGGCATCGACTCCTCCATGATCCTCACAGTGTCTGGCCGAGCCCTGGCCTGTGGGAGCAACAGGTGAATAGGTGCCTCAGGATGACTAGCTGCCCCCTTGCCCTCCATGGCTGCCAGTGCTCCACCCATCATTGCCTATCTCCCACCAAAGACCTGAGGCCGGTAGAGGGTGCTGCTCAGTTCAACCCAGGGTGGGACCTGTCTCCTGATGCACCAGCTCCTGCCCAGATAGGTCGGGACAGGGCAGACTATACATGTTAGAATGGGCTTCTGACTCTGCCCTCAGGTTCAACAAGCTGGGCCTGGACCACCTCTCCCTGGGCAAGGAGCCTGTCCTGCACCAGCAAGTGGAGGAGGCCCTGAGCTTCACACCACTAGGCTCTGCACCCCTGGACCAGGAGCCCCTGCTGAGTGTGGACCTGGGCACTGCTCATTCAGCTGCTGTGACTGGTGAGTAGGACTTGGGAGGCCCAGGAGGCCAGAGGACGACTCACCTAGCCTCCTTGGTACCTCCACTGCAGCACCCTTTCCTTCCTTTCCTCTTCCCTCCCCCAGTCTCAGGTGACTGCTACACTTTTGGCAGCAATCAGCACGGGCAGTTGGGCACCAGTGCTCGCCGGGGCAGCCGGGCACCCTGTCAGGTTCAAGGCCTCGAGGGTATCAAGATGGCAATGGTGGCCTGTGGGGATGCCTTCACTGTAGCCATCGGGGCAGGTGAGGCTGGGCATGGCGGGGGGACAGAGCCATGGGCAGTGGGGGGTTAAGGCACTCATGGCCACTGGACTTCTGGCAGGTTGGGAGTAAAGCTGCTTGCTTAGGCTGTGCCCTGTCCCACTTCCCTCCGTGGGATTCTGTCTGGCAGAGGGCGAAGTGTACTCTTGGGGCAAAGGGGCCCGAGGTCGACTGGGAAGGCGGGACGAGGATGCTGGACTCCCCAGGCCAGTGCAGCTGGAGGAAACACACCCTTACACAGTGACTTCTGTGTCCTGCTGCCATGGAAACACTCTCCTGGCTGTTCGCCGTGAGTTATAACTTTCCCCACCTCACCTGGTTGACCAGATCACCAGAGCTGACCCAGCTGGGTCCTACCTACACCCCCCCCTCCAAGTTCACAGTCCAGCTCACGAAAGGCATCTTTAGCCCCCAGATGAAAGAAAGCAGAAGCTGCAGGGTAGAACTCTGAGCTTCCTGCCTGGGGTGGGCAAGGGTGGGTGCTTCCTCAAGGGCTGCCTCCATCGCTCCCCAGGGCTTGAGTACATTCTTTCTCCTCCTCCACCCTGTGTCTACTTGACTTTGAACCTCCATTTCTGGGCTGGCAGGTCTAGAATCCCAGTGGAGCCCAGTGGGGGTGGAGGTGGGTGATGTTTGCTGGAGGTGCTGCCCTCTGGGAGACTGCAGGGGTTTCTCTTTGGTACCCTCCAGCGCTCACAGATGAGCCAGTCCCACCCTGAGGCACCCGATACACCTCTGGACCACCCTGATACTGCTTCTCCTCTGAATGTTCTGAAAAGTTGAGGTGCCTGAGGCTTGATGGTCCCCACCAGCAGCTCCCTGGATTGTGTCATCAATGGGGTATAAGGGCCAGTGAAAGCCCTGCTCTGCTTTTGGTTCTGGATATGGAAACCTCAGCCCACTCTGTTCCCCTAACACCCCTTTTCCCTTCCTACTCCCTCTTCCCTTAAGTCAGTGTCCCCAGGGTCCAGCCTGGCTAGAGCTGGAAGCCAGACCTAGCCTTTGCAAACAGGGTGGTCTCCAGAGCCTTGGCACAAAAAGGCTGAAGGCAGCTGTGGCTCCACCCAGAGCCTGCCCTTTGCCCCAGCCCAGTTAGAAAATAAATCCCTGGTGCCCACTAGAACCGGCTCCAAGCTTTGGAGCAGGGCAAGCCAGGGCCGGCCTGGACTGGCCATTGGGCCTGCCTAGCTTCTGCGCAGCCTAGGGCAGGGAGGTCCCAGGGAGCGCTGCGACTCGGCCCGCCCATTTACCCAGAGGCAGGGATTTGACTGTGTCTTTTAGCCTCACTACTCCAGCCAGAGAGCAGGGGCCACTAAGTGTCTACAGCTGAGAGGAATCTGGCTGTGGGTAGCCCCTCACCCCGTGCCTTTCCCCAGAACCAGGTTGGGGGAAAGTGTAGCTGGTGGGACCTGACCACTTTCCCAGAGGACTGGAAGTAACGCCAATAAAAATATCAGCTGCCTGCCTGGAGTGTGGTCTCTTCAGGGGTGGGGGTGGCGGCCAGACACGCTAGGACTGGGCTGGGCTTGACCTCGGTTACAGGGCTGCGACCGAGGGAGGAATGTAGGTGTAGCCCGAGGCCGGGGCCGAGGTTCCTTTGGCCCAGTGCCCAGTCCAGCCTCCTCGCCTCAGCCGGACTCCCCGGATCTTGTTGCCAGGCTTCAGCTGCCTAGCACCTGGAAGCTGGGGCCCCGGGTCCCCGGGCGGCACGTGGCTCCTGAGACCGAGCTGCTGATTCTGGAGAAGCAAACCTTTGTGGCGCGGCGCGTCAGTCCCCTTTTCCGACGCGCCCTCCCTGGGGGCCCTCCGCCCCACCCCAGCGCCGGGCCCCCCAGCTCTGGGGAGAAGTGGAGCCACGATTTCTCTCCCCAAGGGGGAAAAGGAGCCCCTGCTTCCCGGAATGGGCTAGCCAGACTCACTTTCGCGGCCCCGGGACCCTCTGGCCGCATCGGGACCCCAAAGCCGAGAGCCCGCGGGGTGGGCGGGGAGCCCGGCGGCCGGCACTAGGACCGCGCGGCCGCGGCTCCGCCCCCTCTTCCGGCGGGAGGGCTCGCGAGCCGGGCCCTGGCCGCGGCCGCCAGTCGGCGCCGCCCGGAGCCGGGAGCGCGGCCGGAGCTAGGCGCGGGCTGTGGGGCCGCCGCGTGCCCGGCCCCGCTCGCCCGTGCCCGCCGCTCGCCTGCCCGCCCGCCATGCCCGGCTTCGACTACAAGTTCCTGGAGAAGCCCAAGCGACGGCTGCTGTGCCCGCTGTGCGGGAAGCCCATGCGCGAGCCAGTGCAGGTTTCCACCTGCGGCCACCGCTTCTGCGACACCTGCCTGCAGGAGTTTCTCAGGTGCGGGTCTGGGGTGGCAGGGGACGGCGGGCGGCGGGGAGGGGGACACCGCATGGGGGGGCTCAGGCCCGAGGCACGGCGTGCCTTTGTCTGCGCCGCGACCCCATGACCTCAGGGGCGCCCACCGTGACGTCAAGGGGAGGGGTGACGTCAGCCCCGAGGGAGTACCCATGCACTCGTCCTTAGGGTCCCAGGTCCTACCTGCCGCGGCCCAGGTCGGAAGAGCCCGGCGCCTTCCCGCGGGGCGCAGATGGGAAAGAGGCCCTTCCTGACCCGCGGCCGGCCCTTCCCCCTCACCTGAGCGCTAGAGCGGCCCCGTGCTTGAACTTTGAATCCTTCGGGGAAGAGGACAAAACCCTCTCCCGCGCGGCACTCTAAGCCTCCAGAGTTTTCACCCGTGTAACCTCTTTTGCTGCTTCGGACGTGCCGAGAACGGCGGCTATTGTCCTCCCATTTCACAGATGATGAAATGAGATTCAAAGAAAGGCTGCGACTGACCCAGGGTCACACAATTACTTGGAGGCTTAACTGGGATTTAAGTCCGGGCCGCCTGTGATCACACAATAGAGGGAGGACTGTGACGGTACAATCCTCCCCTGAAGCAGGACTTCTTGAGGCGTCTCTCCCCTCTGCCGGGATCTAGAGTAAGGCGGGTGCTCAGCACATCGTTTAGGAGGGGTCGCACGCTCGCTGATACGGGACACCCCCTGCCCTCTCAGGACCCTAGGTCACCACTTGGCTGTTGGGCATCCATCAAGTTTCAGGGTGCCCTGTGGTGTCTCGTGTCTCCTGCCCACGCGGGTTACTGCTCAGGCCCGCGTGCGGGGACGCAACATGAGGGAGCCTCCACTCCTGGGGAGGTCATGTCCCCAGAGCGCAGGGGAAGGCTGGGTCAGCACTGTCAGGAGGCTGTTGGCTCTGCTAGGAGATCTAGGGGCCCAAGCAGGGAGAGCACCTCGGGGGCTCTTGCCATCAGTGCTCCCTCCCTCTCTTGGTCCTCGGCAGCCCGGGCTGCCGGAAATCTCAGCAGGCCCTTTGTTTTCTGTTCCCCACAGCCTGGGCCGGCTCCTGCCCTCACATATGCTCCTGCACAAGCTGCTGTGCGGCCCCCTCCTCCCTTTCCCTCGCCCTCCTCCCTCCTCCCTGCAGTGTACACACTTACTCCCCTACAGACACACAGTCCCATTGTCTCCTCTGCGGCTCTTCCCCAGCCCTCTGGTTTCCAGATGAGGCCAGCTGAGCCACTCCCCCCACCCCAGCTGACCCTCCCTGACTGCCTTGGGGAAGGAGTGAGGGAGGGGGCTGTCAGGCACGTTCCCCTCCACCACCTCCTAGGCCCCCTTTCTGCAGCTCTGCCCCTCCCCCTCCCGGAAATCCCCTCTTCCTCTCCCATGGCCCCCTCCCCCAATCCTGTCTTCTTCCCTGGGCCTCCGCTGTGCAGCCTGGAGCAGCCTCTGCCCCTGCCCCAGTGCCTGAGGTGGTTGGGTGGGCTCTGCCCCTCACCATCACCCCTACTCTACAAGCAAGGGTGTCCATAGCCCTGGCTGAACCTCTTTCCTGGCCGGGCCCCAAGCTGGAGGCTTAGTTTGTGTCTGAAGCCTAGGGACTTGCCTGAGTCCCCTCCCTGTCTCCAAAACCACTAAGTCAGCACATTCCTGAAGCAGCCAAGTGGACCCCCGCCCCCCTGGCCCACCCCTCTTTCCCCACTCCTACCAGGGCTATTACTCAGGTTCATCCAGGAAGGCTAGTTGCTGTGTGGGCAGGAGCACACCCCTTCAGTGCCTGGGCCTGTATTGTCCTTGACATTGGTGGCATGGCCAGTGGTGGTGGGGTCGGGCGAGGAGGTGGGTGCTAGAAATCCTACGGGCATCTGGGGCATGGGCTACCCAGACACTGGAAAGTGCCTTCCAAACAGAGCTGCCATGTGGCCTCTGCTTCTGCCTTGATCCCTACCTGCCTCCCACCTCCCTGACTCAGACCTGCCAGGAATGCCATGCCCAAGGGCCTTCAGTCCTGCTAGTTGAGCCCTTGCCGTGTCTGAGCCATGCTGGCATGTGTGACTGGTCCTAGCTGGGGTCAGCAAGGGCATGCTGGCAGGAGGAAGCATGCCTGCAGGCTCCTTGGCTGCTAGCAGCCAGGTGGGGATTGGTGCAGGAGGGCAGCTGGCATGGTGGGCAGGGTCAACAAGCTTCGGAAACCTACTAAACAGTGACCAGAGTCTTGCCTGTGCTTGCCTGGACACTTTTTCTTGCCCCAGCCTCTCTTCTGTGTGCTGTATGGTGCAGTAGAGCCTGTCTGAGCTGTGGAATCAGACATATCCAGATGCTGCTTCACCTGTGAGCCTCTGCTCTCTCACCTGTAAAATGGGGACATTCTGATCCTTCTCAGAGGCTTGTCAGGAGTGTAAACAAGTGCCAGGGAGCATGCCTTTTCTCCTCTTTCCTTTAGGAGACACACCCTCAAAGGAGGAGGAGAGGGATAGGGTTAGGTGGCCCCAAGATGACCTTTGCCCTGGTTCTTAGCAGGGCACCTTTCTTGGGGGCTGGGCAGCCCCTGCACTTAATCTCAGCCCATCCTTGTTCCTCCTCCCCATCAGCTTTCAGCTGGGCCAATAAAAACCAACCAGGGGGAGGGGTAGCCAGGCAGCCTATTCCTTTTCCAGTCCAGCTGCCATCCTGGGGGGGAGGGGGTGCCAGCTGCCACCTGTTCGCCAAGTGCAGTCTGAGGCAGCTGTCTGCCATGCTAGGCCCAGAACCCCCCTTCCCAGGACAGGGGCTGGGATCTTCTGGGATCCTGGGGAAGTGGGTCCCCTTGGGCCTCTGCTTGGCCTTTTGTCTCAGCTGGTGCCAGTTGGGAACCGGTCTGGTGAGGGAGGGAGGCTGCTCTGATGGAGGGGGTGGGGCCCAGGATACTCCTTCCCCTAATGGGAAGCCTTGACCCTGCCCCCTCCCCCTTTTCAGTGAAGGAGTCTTCAAATGCCCTGAGGACCAACTTCCTCTGGACTATGCCAAGGTGAGTCCACATTGCCAGGAAGAGGCACAGGCTGTTGCCCTTGGTGGAGGCTGGAGTTGCTGGCAGCCAGCGGGCTCAGGGCCAATGTCAACCCAAAGCCTTGGGATCATGGGCCCCCACAAAGGTAGCCTGTTCCCTCCCACCAGGCCAGTTTGCAAACGGAGGCCCGTGTTTGCCCTGGAGGCCAGGCACGATGCCCAGCCTGTGTGGGGGTACACAGAGCTGCTCTGTGCCCACAAGAAGAGCTCCCTCCCCTTCCGGTGCAAGCCAGACCTGTGGCTGAGGGCCAGGACCCCTCCACCAGGGGGAAGGAAACAGAGCATTGAGGGACAGCCTGGGACTGAGCAGGCTGATTGGCTGCCTCTCCAAAGGGCGTGTCATGTGCAGGCATGTTGGGATCTAGCATCAGAGCAATTGCCACCTGCTGTGCCCTTCATCACTGGACACAGGGCAAATAGCCTAAGAGAGGCTGTCACTGGCACTAAGGTAGAGCCAGCCCAAGTAGGGGTGGGGGTGGGAGTTGGGGACTGCAGCAGGCTCTGACCCTGGCCAGTTCCCCCCATTGCTGCCCCCAGATCTACCCAGACCCGGAGCTGGAAGTACAGGTACTGGGCCTGCCCATCCGCTGCATCCACAGCGAGGAGGGTTGCCGCTGGAGTGGGCAACTTCGTCATCTACAGGTGAGGCTCTGATGTGAGGGGCTGGGACTTCCCCTCCCCTGGCAGGCACTAACCGCAGCCCTTCCCACCAGGGCCACCTGAACACCTGCAGCTTCAATGTAGTCCCTTGCCCCAATCGCTGCCCCGCCAAGCTGAGCCGCCGTGATCTGCCTGCACACTTGCAGCATGATTGTCCCAAGCGGCGCCTCAAGTGCGAGTTTTGTGGCTGTGACTTCAGTGGGGAGGCCTATGAGGTGGGTGGGGCCTGGCTGAGGGTAGGAGGGGGCAGGGCACCTGATACCCCACACATCCGGTAACTCAGCACCTCTGGCATTTCCACAGAGCCACGAGGGTATGTGCCCCCAGGAGAGTGTGTACTGTGAGAACAAGTGTGGTGCCCGCATGATGCGGCGGCTGCTGGCCCAGCATGCCACCTCTGAGTGCCCCAAGCGCACCCAGCCTTGCACTTACTGCACTAAGGAGTTCGTCTTTGACACCATCCAGGTGAGCCTCTTCCTGAGCTGTGGGCTGCGGGGCAGGTGACAGGGAGTCAGGCCATTGACTGCTGTCTCTCTGCCTCTGCTGCGGCCCCAGAGCCACCAGTACCAGTGCCCAAGGCTGCCTGTTCCCTGCCCCAACCAGTGTGGTGTGGGCACCGTAGCTCGGGAGGACCTGCCAGGCCATCTGAAGGACAGCTGTAGCACTGCCCTGGTGCTGTGCCCATTCAAAGACTCCGGCTGCAAACACAGGGTGAGCTGCCCTCTCCCCTTCCTGTCAGCCCTTTCTTTTGCCCTTTAAGCCCTAGATGGAGGCTAGGCTTCCTGATGCCACTTAGGCCTTGGTGGTCCCTACTATGTTGCTCTAAAGCCCTCAGTCCTTCCCCTGCTGGCCAGCTGCAGCCTCCTCCTTGCACTCTGTCTCCCTCATTCAGAGTTGGGTGCCTGCTACCCCATACCCACTCCTATCCTCCCGTCTGAGTCTTCTCCTACTGATAACTCTCCTCCCTTCCCTCATGGCCTGGGGCTTTGCCAACAGTGCCCTAAGCTGGCAATGGCGAGGCACGTGGAGGAGAGTGTGAAGCCACATCTGGCCATGATGTGTGCCCTGGTGAGCCGGCAACGGCAGGAGCTGCAGGAGCTGCGGCGAGAGCTGGAGGAGCTGTCGGTGGGCAGTGATGGCGTGCTCATCTGGAAGATTGGCAGCTATGGGCGACGGCTACAGGAGGCCAAGGCCAAGCCCAACCTCGAGTGCTTCAGCCCAGCCTTCTACACACATAAGTATGGTTACAAGCTGCAGGTGTCTGCGTTCCTCAATGGCAATGGCAGTGGCGAGGGCACACATCTTTCACTCTACATTCGAGTGCTGCCAGGTGCCTTCGACAATCTTCTCGAGTGGCCCTTTGCCCGCCGTGTCACCTTCTCCCTGCTGGATCAGAGCGACCCTGGGCTGGCTAAACCACAGCATGTCACTGAGACCTTCCACCCCGACCCAAACTGGAAGAATTTCCAAAAGCCTGGCACTTGGCGGGGCTCCCTGGATGAGAGTTCTCTGGGCTTTGGTTACCCCAAGTTCATCTCCCACCAGGACATCCGAAAGCGGAACTATGTGCGGGATGATGCTGTCTTCATCAGAGCCTCTGTTGAACTGCCCCGGAAGATCCTCAGTTGAGTGCAGGCAGGGCTTGGGGGGAAAGGGGGATGGGACATGACCTCAGTCAGGCACTGGCTGAACCTGGAGAAGGGGCCGGCCCCCCATCAGCTGCTTCTGCTGCCTAGGTTCTATTACTCCATTCTCCCTCTGCCCACCACCTTCCACCCCCAGGTGCCTCCAATTGGTGCTTCAGCCCTGGCCCCTGGGGGGAGCAGGTCCCGGGGTCAAGGGCTGGAA